AAAGTGTTTTTTACATTTAACTACAAACTCAAAATTATAAGTTGGGTTCAAGGAGTTTTTCATCTAAAACACCTGTTCTCGCGTCGCTCTCTATCTCTGTCTATAACAACTAGAAACGTGTTTTTAAACAGTTTTTGGTTGTTACTTTATCAAGCACAACAGTTTTCTTGATCTCTTTAGAACTGACCAATCAGCTTTCCTTTTTTGTTTCGTAGCTATGTAGTATATAAAGAGACAGTGTTTGACTTATTGATCATACGTTTCCTACTAGGAATGACGATACGTCTAGAGTAGAAAATTCCTACTTTAGGGCCATTTTTGATAGCAAAAACTTGCTAATATACTTTTTTACAGTAATATCCAAAAACGTCGGTGTTTGCATTATCGATTAGAAAAAAACTCCATAGCATTTTGTAGAGTACTGAAAGCGCTTCCTTTTGATAAATGACCTTGGAGAAAAAAACGTTATGAAATTATAAAAGAAAATTGATATTCAATTAAATTTAGTATTCCATGATCGTGTTCTGAGACTTGTTAAGCACGTAAAAAATTGGTAAAAGGTGCTTCACGTGTAAAGAAATGGGTTCTAAATCACTTTCTTTATATGTTGTTGGAATGACTTGTATGCCCAGCCCTTGTCTGTATGGTAGTATTCCGACTGTATTACAATTTTTAAGGTTGAACACAACCAAATAAAACATAGTTGATTTTGGGTAATTATACGATCTGAAGCCGTTTTTGAAACTGAGTAAATACGAAAACATATGCTCGCATATTTGCGAATCTATTCCATCGAATGAGGCTAGGTGAACTAGATTATCAGCGCTCATTATCGTTGCACACATTTTTCAGGTGTGGCTTGGTTGGTGAAACCTGTCAATAGCAGCTAGCTTGATGAAGGGGTCTGAAAAGCACACCATCAGTCGAAAACGTATATTTTCTCTCACTGTTTATTCCATTTATGAATTCCCCACCTGTTCTATTTTCACCAGCTTGTAGAGGATACTTTAAAGTATATGCTTTTCCGACCCCTTCATCGAGCTAGCTCTCATCAGTACTCTCTTGGTCCTTCCAGTGAAAACCAAGCTTTATACTGCAGATCCGAACAAAAGGTGTCGATAGCGACAGACCTGACTGTTGTAGTAACGGTATAATCTTTGATTACAGTGCAGCTGTTTTAAACTTCATTTTATTTAGTTGATATTTCGACCTTTAACCGTTCACTTTCAAAACGTTACAAAACTATGTGTACAAGAATTGAATGAGACAAAATCGAGTATTCTGAACGTGTGGAATACAATGGTGATGATGCTAATCGTGTTAAGAAGAATGAAGCTCTAAAGTGTGATGAAATTCATAATAAATTCATTGAACAATCATCGGCTAATTGTAACGTTCATCGAAGCGAGCTTGAACGTAAGAAATTAACAACATTCGGATTCGTCGCGAAGTTTTTGGACTGCGGTGGGATTGTTGGTTTCTACGAGATGTCTCGTTTGGAAGGAATGAGACGAATCATTAGATCTAATGCCTATACAAGCCAATGGTAAACTACCTTCCGCAATGTTATACGATTGTGCATGCACATTAAAACTATTCATCGATAATTATTTCGGTGCCCAGTATTTGGCAGACACAAAAGATACAATTTTTTAAAAGCATGAAACTGGCTATTGACAGGTTTCACCAACCAAGCCACACCTGAAAAATGTGTGCAACGATAATGAGCGCTGATAATCTAGTTCACCTAGCCTCATTCGATGGAATAGATTCGCAAATATGCGAGCATATGTTTTCGTATTTACTCAGTTTCAAAAACGGCTTCAGATCGTATAATTACCCAAAATCAACTATGTTTTATTTGGTTGTGTTCAACCTTAAAAATTGTAATACAGTCGGAATACTACCATACAGACAAGGGCTGGGCATACAAGTCATTCCAACAACATATAAAGAAAGTGATTTAGAACCCATTTCTTTACACGTGAAGCACCTTTTACCAATTTTTTACGTGCTTAACAAGTCTCAGAACACGATCATGGAATACTAAATTTAATTGAATATCAATTTTCTTTTATAATTTCATAACGTTTTTTTCTTCACTATCTAATACAATGTAAATATATATTTATCTATATATATAATTGTTTTTTTTTACTCTTTTATCCGTCTGTCGATACTATTTATCTTAAGCGCGACGTTTTACAACTATTTTGATGTAAAGTAATAGGTTTGTGTATTTAACACTCTTATATAGTTTTTGTTTTTTATTATACACATTTGGTGTTGAAATGCAAAGTAAAAGCTTATCCTTCACATTTCTTCGTTTTGGTTTTTATTATAAACTTTACAAATGTTGTATCTAATGTAGGATAATGGAGGAGTAATATAATATTGTACTATAACTTTTCCTGTTGTCTGGAACAATGCGCTGAACGTTTTTAATCTTAAAGTTCGAGGTTATTAGTAGTTATATATAACTGAAAAGTCGTAGAATCGCCGTATGAATCCAATGCAAATAAAGTTTTCCTGTGTATGTATGTATGTATGTTAGCTAGGAAACATTTTATATGCAGTTTTAGAGAATTGCAAAACTCGTCTCAAAAGTCTGAAAGTCGACCTGCCAAAAAAAATGGAATAGTTACTGCATAAGTTTGGTGGCTCCATCTGTCATCGTTTAGGACATATCGCTTGAACATTGGTCAAAATGGGACAACTACCGCCCGGCAGATTTCTCTGCTCAGAAAATGATCCCACGGCTAAACGATAAAAGATAAAATTTAGAATTAGCGTAGACTAATAGAAGACAGTCTAGTGATTTGAATCCATGTCGATGATTCAAAAACCCATTTACTTTTTTTATACCTAGCGATCTTCTAAAAGAATGCTTGCAGGTAACATTGTTAGGAGAGTGACGTGCGGGACGAATATTCCCTCAGACATTGCCTATAGATTGCTGAAAATTACATGTCTCGATCTATTCTCGCTCAAAAGTTATTCAGAAAATAACCATACGCCATTCTTTTTTGAAAGTGACAGTAAGCAGAAGAAAAGAAATGTGAACGCAGATGTGGTACTGTTCACTGGACATTCCAAAAGTTGAAAGCCACTGTACATCATTGGCATTTAGTTAATGAAGAATGTTACAGAAAAAGTTTTGACAACTGCCGTTTTGATACTTCATGAAATAAGTCAACAAGAAAAAACTGGTTGTCTTGCCTATATATGAAAAAGTTCAACTTTGTTTATTTGGCGGACGCAACTGTTTTCTTGACCCATTGCAACCATTTGTCGTTGACTGAACGAAGTTGTTCATTGACAGGAGCCAATGCGCTCCAATACGGCGTCAATTCGCCACTCTTCTCTCGTACCAAAAACAATAAAAAATCAGCACCTTTTCTGTATGTATTAGCAAAGCAACTGCCGGCGCGACCATTTGGTCGAACGAATGTGTAAGGCGGCGAATGATCGTTGTAATCGTCATAGTTGTTCAAATATCCGAAAATCAACAGCGGCTCGGCAGTTATGTTCTTGCCTTTGAGCGTTTCTTTTACTTCAAATTTAACTATCGAAGTTGGAATTCCAGTCGTATACCATTCTTCCCCTGGCTCTTTCTCGTAGCTGGCAGCATTTGCACGGACAATTACATTAGCTTGCGCGACCAGTTCTTCCGGTGGGCTTATCCCGATAACTGAACACGCCTGCACAACTACGTTTTGATCCAAAAGCAAGGCAATTGACAACAGAAATACAATAGCAGAATGTCTTGTCTTGGCTGAACGATGCATGATACACTCTCAAAAAGGGTATTTTCGAAAATCTAAATAGAGTTTTCGGTAATGTTCTTACCGGATTCAATTCATGGGTTTTCGAGAGTAACAAAAATTTCTTAAACGCGGCGTGCTGCGACGGATTTAGGCGCGTCTGGCAATTTTTAATCAAAAAAACGCGTCTTAACTCATCTTTTATGCAATAATGATACTTTTATGGCATAAAAAGGGAATTCTAGTGGAGAAAATAGAGGATTACATACACAGTTCCGATTTTTTCGCTCGTGATCTAGAAAAGTGAAATTTCTCAGCATGGGGGGGGAATTTCAAAACTCTGAAGCTTTACTTTTTGTTGTATGAATGAAGGGGGTTCGAATGGCATATTTCATGGGGTTCCACATCCTCACACGAAAAACTAGATAGCTTTTTGTAATGAGGTCTCGGTTTTTGAACCCCTCGTAACATGAGTCTTCTGTCAAGTCAATTATAGGGTACGAGCTTGTAAAATACATTTTTAGATTTTATTTTTGATGCCGAATCAGAAGAAAAATATTTCGGAGCTTCAAAGTGAAACGTAGAAGAAATGTAGGCACTTTTCGGGAGGGACGATTTTCCGGTTTTTCGAGCTCTCAAAGTATTTTCAATGTTTTGACGTGAAAACTTGGCCTAGGAAGGCTGAAGCCAAATTATCCTAGTTCAGCTCATTCTCCTCTTTCGAACGATCTGTGATTCGATCGAATACAAAACAGCATATGGTCTTTGAATTGCGCGTGTCTTGCGTGCAGTATCCTTCGATTTCACAATACTTGAAAAACGTTACCTTGCTGTAAAAAAAACAATATTTTTCATTATTTTCCCCGAAACTTTATGCATTTTCAACCTATTCGATCGGTTCATATAAAAGGTGATGAAAGATATTAGATGTTTAAAAACGGTTTCATTTATTACTTAAGCGGTAAAAGTCAAAAGTAAACGTCTTGTTATCAAAAAATTCTCCTTCCACGTGTTATTTGATACTAGCTAACAAATATTTAAATGTCACTTAGTGTCATTTATGTAGTAGAATGAAAGGAGCAAAACATTATGCATTTCTTTCCGCTGTTATTTAACATCAGCTTTTGATATTAAAATATTTAAGGTGAGTACATACGGATAAATAAAAAAAAGCCATACTATTTTTATATGACTTAAACACCCACTCATTCCCAAAGAAAATTAATGTTCAAGGAGATTTACATGGACTCGCTCGTGAACCGCAACCCCATAGTGTATAAGTTCATAGTATTCGCAAAATGAAAGTTTCAATCTGAACATGGGCCCAAACACATCTTTGTTCGTGCAGTTCGAACAACTGTAGTACTGTCTCCACAGTAGACAGCATCAGCTTATGATATAGTAATATGATATCAGCGTTTGATATAGTAAAAATATATAAAAAATTCTCAAAGGAATATTAATTATTTTTAACGTTCAGCTGGCTTACTCCTGATGAAACCGCCTACCATTATATTGACATTCAGCACCAGCGGCAAGACTTATCTCGTTTTATTTAGTTCAGATGAAAGAGCTGAGATGTAGAACTCAGATGAAACAGCATATCGATATCTCTGTATCATTAGGTTTCAACGGAAAAAAATTATGCGAGACGTGTAGGTCTTTAGAAAAAGATTTCTACAACCTCCGATTTTCCAGAAAATTTGACAACCTTAGAATTCATTCTCAAATATTTTCAGCCACTCCCTTAAACAGCTTTCTACAAAATGAAATGTTAGCCGAGTTTCTACGATCTCGAACGACCGACTTGCAAGCTTCGTTACATTAATGGCTTAAAGTCATCGAAAATTTTTGTTTTTAATAATTTGTTTTTAAGTACGCACAAAAAAAATCAAAAAATAAGTATATAAAATAAAACAAAGTAAAAGGAATAAACTGATGATATATACACTAACAAGACAGAAGGCGATGAAATGTGAACACAACAATAAGGAAGAGAGAAAAGATAAATAAATCTGTGCTTTCACAGGACACTCTGCGTACATCATCTCATAGCGTTTGAAATGTTTTAGTTGAAATATATTACTAGGCATGTAACGAATCTAAATAATTCATCTCAAGCCGCTGTTGATTCAGTAGGATTCGGTGAAAACTGCCAAAAAATGCAAAATTTCACCGAATCCTACCGAATCTTGGTATCTTTTTAAAAACTAGATGAAATCCGACATCAGGATCGGATAGTGCACACAAAATTGTTCATATTTCACATTGAGATTCGGTCGGGTGCGGGGGTTCTTCTTGTAAAAAATATTTCATCTTTGAGATGAATTATTCAGATTCGTTACATGCCTATATATTACTGCTATTTGAATAAAAGTGGAGTAAGTGATTCTCTCAAAAACCTACGATCATCGACTATATCTGGACAACGTGAACATTTCAGAAGTTATGAATCTCAACAAATACAAAACGATGACTTTTAGTATTTTCTTCAGTCACTAAATACAAAAACAACAAATCTTGCTTGTCAAGTATATAGGAAGCGATAAATCAGTGAATATATGGAATAAAAACGAATAATAATTCAAAAGACTTTCGAGCTACGAATTAATTTTTGTCTATGTAAACACGTGTCTGATTTTATTTCCGTCTTTATTCTTGTATCTTGCCGTTGTCAATTGTTCAATCTGCTTCAATATTACGCCTATTGCGTCATCTTGACTTAATTCATCAGAACATTTCAATAGCAATTATTACTGCACAAGTAAACATTGAATATTGGGTATCGTCAGTATCAACCCTTTCAACACTTGAAAGTTCTGGAATTTTGATTGTTGAAACTCTAATGTTCTTACTGTATTCAATATCAAGTGTTCATATTCATCACTTAATTCATTTGTTTGATAAAAACTTATTTTTAAGTAACGTAAATTTCTAAATATTTTTTCATAAAGTGCAAAAGAACAATGCGTAATTCGCAATCATGTAAATGGATTTCGTCATTGATTAGTAATCAAAGTTGAAGGGTAAGATTAAGATGGCACAATGTTTGACAAACATCACAAACATTGTTTGTGATCAATACTTACATGATAACATAGGGTAGTTATTTTTCTAGTTAGTGAATCTAGAAATAATAAGATTAGTGAAAAAGATTGTTGT